CTAAAATATTACAAATCAAAATCTTTAGAATAATTATATCAAACTCTAACATCTACTCTATTATAGCAATTCATGCATTTTTTGTATTATCAAAACATTTTATATAGAAAACTATAAAAATAATAACACATTCAATTTCATTGGTAGAAACAAGTAAAATAATACATCACTCTCGTAAATATTAATTTTTTAGACATTTCTCGAAATTTGAATATATCTACCTTTTTTTATATATTTTAGCATATACATTAGCATCGTTATTGGAGTAACAAATTCCAAAATCGCCTTAATATCAATTTTAGCATGGTTATTGGAGATGCTCCAAATAAAAAAACAAAATCACAGCATCACTTCGTGTAAATTATTTACATCCATATGCTCGTTTTCAAGTTCCTACTCGAAGGGGCATTGGTTTCTAAGCCAATATTGGCTTAAAATCATGGTATTCAGTCTCAAAATTTGAATGAATGACCTTAATACGAGTGGAAATTGAAGTCTCAGATTAACGGATAAAACCCACGGTTTTTTTCTAGTGGGCCGAAAGCAAGTTGGGTCATGGAATATGAACTTATGGAAGTCCATTATTTAAACTGAGATGCTATTTCTATCGTTTATAAAATTGTTAATACCATTATTTATTATTTGTGTTTTATTAAATTGTCCAACTTTGTCGTAGTTACATATTTGTTCATAAATACAAAACTAATAGGTCACATGACTTCGTTCTATAACAAATTTATGGATCGAACTTAATTCAAGAATGTAAATATTGTTATCCTCTTGCGTTGTGTATCTTTATACCGATATACCGCCCTAACATCATGAGAGTTGCCTGAGGGTTTGTTCCTGGTGAATCAGAAAACACCGAACCATCAAGGACTCGTAAGCCGTTAATTCCGATCACTTTCAAATCACTATCGACAACCTTGTTGACCAAACATCCGCCGTGGAAATGCCAAAATGTTCGTAACGTGTTACGACAAAATGCCTCCACRGATTCCTCATTTGATGGATTTTCAGGTAAGGAAAACCCTACGAACTGGAAATACTTTCGACCGTCACGGTCACTAAACTTGTATGTATCCATGGCTTGTGTTCTTAACATTTTATCGAAAACATTCACCATATTAGCACATTGTCGAAGGTCTTCTATGCTCGAATAGTAATTAAACGATACTTTTGGGGTAACGGTAACATCGCTTGCAGATTTTAAATCGAGAATWCCAACTGATGCAAGTCTTGGAAACTTGGCCACAATCGTTATGGTGCTTAAATTTAGTGGCGCATATGGATAGGGGAAAATTATGGTGCTTGCAGGAGAATAAAACGGAGCCACACCCGAAACGGTCTCTATGAACGGGCCTTCTTTTGTGATCCCGACCACTCGGCCTCCAATATCAGCCAACGGAAAAGGGACTAAAAGACTAATCTCGGTACGTGGATTATCAGCCATGAATTGTCGAACAAAAGGATGATGATGAACGACGGTGATATTTTGTGATAACAAGTATGATTCCGGCCCGACTCCACTTACAAGCAAAAGTTGTGGGCTACCAATAGCTCCTGCGCTCAATATCACCTCACCATTTCTTTTTATATGAACTTCATGAGACCTCCYTTTTGAATCATGATAAACAACTCCAACTGCCTCTACACCTGAAACCACACCAATTTGGCCATTAAACTTTGGGATGAAATTTTTAAAGAATAAATTGTTTTTTACGATTTAAGTTGCGATGAAAACATTAAGCATGCTTACCCGACGATCTACTGGAGGAGAAGATAATCCGATCAACGGTGGCATGAACCACCACCCTCAAATTTTCTGGATGGGCTTGGTTGAGTAGCTCCACTGCACCGTGTCGTCGGCCTGAGCCATCAAACGTCGAACCACTAATCTTGGTCCCTTGAAGGTGTTCAACGGTGAACCCATTTGCCGGACCAACTCCCGACTCCAATAACGCTTGATAAGYAGAATTTTGCCAACTATTTAAACCTTCTGGAATAGAGACAATACCATTTTCTACCCATTCGTAAGCTTTTTCAACGATTCCCATGTCCCATTCGATACCCGATTTGCTATAAAAGTAATCATCGGCTCTTGAATAAAACCCGAAATTTATCATGCTACCTCCTCCCAACACATTCCCCCTTGTGTTCGGAATACCCTCTTCGGAGATAAAAGGTTGACCAGGTGTTCCTTTATCGTTTGCATTTAGAATGTTAACTAGCATGTTGGCTTCGTGTAAAACGTTAGGATCGGAACTTCCTACACCCCCACGCTCAAGAAGTAGAACGGAATAGTTTTCCGATAACGTGGCGGCTAATGGACAACCGGCAGTCCCTCCTCCGACGATTATGTAATCGTAWTCTTGTGCTGGGGTGAAATCTGTGGCTTCGTACGTAAAACCAAGGTAACTTTCATCTGCAACAATATATACATATAAACAAAAACGTATATTGAAATATATATATATATATATATATATATATATATATATATATAACATGAATATGATTAATATGAATTAAAAAGAATTGAGAATTGCCTGGATTAGCACCCGGTTGAAAGAAACAAACAACTCTAAATTGAGGTCCAAAGAAGTATATTAAAAGAAGTGTTGCTATTGCTTGATTCTTAACCATTCTCATTTTGGTGTGGAATGGATATCTCTTGTTATATATATATATATATATATATATATATATATATATAGGTTTTATTGTACAACTTTGAATGCATTGTCTATAATCAAGTATGTAAAGCATTTAAGACCGAACATGAATAACACACGTTTTATAAAATGTCATTGTTTTAATAAAGTACTTTATAGGACTTAAGTTTATAGGAGCAAACCAAAAAAACCTCGTAAATAAAACTATTACAATAGGTTATAGGATACTTTAGGCGTTTTAACGAGTTCTTTAAAACGTACTTAAAACAAAGTGTTGTATTGGCTATTGTATACAACATTGTTGCAAAATGTGTCATGTAAACACAATTGTCGTATAAAAAGGTAGGTTGATAAGACATTTCTCAAAGCTAGATGTATTAGGGGAAGGATGACCGGAGACATCTCCGAAAAAGACACAAAGCTAGATGGATGGATGAGATTTTAGGGTATTGATATTAATTAATAATTAATAACATTATATATATATATACTTTATAATAAATTGTTTTTATGAATATTTTCAAAAAAATGTTTACGGAGGACTTGTTTGAAAATGATTATTCGCATACCTTAAATTCTCTGGACCACCCGCCTCCATCATCCATTCCTCTGCCTTATATAATTGACCATTCATTACCACATATTTTTTTAACATGACTAAAAGGTATTCATCTACAACGTGATATATTTTGATTTTAATTTTTTATTTTATTATGTTTGTTGTTGATGTTATAATATGATTTTTTATGGTTTGAAAAAAACGATATTGTTTTTTTATTTTTGAATAAAATATAAATTTGAATATATCTTAGAATTTTCTTAAAAAAATAGCGATATTAGTATCAAATTAACTATTTAAAAGTTGTTGTTTTTTTGTGTTATTTGTTTTAATTCACTTTTTTAGGTTTAATAACAAAGTAATTTATTTATTCAATGATATAATTTTTTATAAAGATAATAACTAAGTATTCTGTTAGAACAAAGTGATTATCCTAATTATATTTTAGATTTTTTATATTTAAAATGAAATGTTTATCTAGTATTTGATTATATTTATCTGCAGTTAGTTACGCGAATTCAAACATGGAGCTTTAATATGTTGTACTTACGCACAATCTACTTGTAATCTTGAGTTTTAAGTAACATGCATTAATAAACAGTATTTTATGCATAAAAAGTGGGTTTTAAAGATTTTTGTCAAATGTTTTTTAATATAGTATAGATTAACTATTTAAAAGTTCTTTTTTTTTTGTGTTATTTATTTTAATTCACTTTTTTAATTTAATTTAATTTAATTTAGGTTTAATAACAAAGTAATTTATTTTTTATTCAATAATATAATTTTTTATATGGATAATAATTATGTATTTTGTTAGAACTCAAT